CCGGGCCCCCAGCGGCGACAACGCGCGCCGCAGCCCCTTCTGCAGTCATTGCGGATGTATTTGTGATTTGTATTTGTGTGTGTGTGAGATGTGAGAGGAGGCGATTTGTGATGAATTGTGATTTGTGTGTGTGTGTGTGTGTGAGATGTGAGAGGAGGCGAGGAGGATGAATTGTGATTTGTGTGTGTGTGAGATGTGAGAGGAGGTTGTGATTTGTGTGTGTGTGTGTGTGAGATGTGAGAGGAGGCGAGGAGGAGGACGAGGAGGACGAGGAGAAGGGCGGGATGGCAGCCAAAAAACAAGAACCCCACACAGAGATGTGGGGAAAAATGATAGGTCAATAAGTTACCATCATAATGTGTTATATGTGTTGTATTAGAATATATTATTATGTATCCCTGGTGCTCCAACTACCTCCTCGGAAGGAGGTTGGGGTGGGTGCCAGGGACAAACTCCCTACCTTCTGAGGATGAGGGCCTACACTTGTTCCGAGGCTATTCTTCGTAGTATGAACACTACATCGTCCACTCTGGTCTTCCATTTCGTGGTAAAAGGTCTCAAAGAAGCTGTGGTCTCCAAAAGAGAAGCCATCCTACAGTGCAAAAGAACAATATATTCCCCATGCAAAAGGGGATTCGCTCATGGGGAATATAAAATATGCCTAAGCAATCCGAGTACATCAAAGCCGGGCCACATGAAAGGTTCATCAAGCACCACTGTTTTCAAGGACTTTCCGTTGGTGACCTCTTCGTGACCTCTGAAGAGGGACCAGACTCGTCGTGACTTCGATCTCAAAGACACGTCACGAACTGAAGGTCCTGGTTCCTTCAGTGTGCGTGTATCAATAAATCTACCAGCCCCCGAAATAGGGAACTCTATAGCTCACAAGATCACCTCAGCATGTGTTTGACTAGGTCGATTCTTAGGCTGCAAAAGACGTAGCATCCAAAAACATACAACAAGGCTACCAGCGCTACCAGCGCCGCTCGGTGCATGAGTCTCCCACATCAGCTGCCACAGCATTCCCGGATCCCCTCCGCATCCCTCCGAGGCTCTAAGCATCATCCATGGGAGGTCGTTCCCGCGGGAGATGCGCGAGTCTGACACCCACGCGGGATTCCTGGGAAGGACGTTCACTGATCGGATCTGGGCACCAAAGGCACGATCTGTTTTTTTGAACAGTATCATGTTTGTGCAAAGATTCCCAGGAAGACCTGACAAAGCTCATTACAAAAAAAACTTTTTAGTGTCATTTTTGCCTGGGCTGAACTGGTCAACACACGTTAGCTTCATGAAACAATAGCTGAACTGGTGAGTTGGTGCAGCACAAACAAAAACGTCTTCTTATCTCTGCTTTTTGCTTCATTGGCTGATTCGGCCTATATCTTAAGTTAAGAGTACTTTAGAATGAACAATGAAGAAAACACAACACACAAAAACAATCCGGCCAACGGTTTCCGAGCATCATGTACTTGTACGGAAATCGTTGCACCACCGGCTGCACAGCCATACCCGTGGCAAAGGCGCCCGTGTTGAAACCTCAGAGGGCCCAATGAAGGTGCCCTGACAGCTTCAGCCCCATGGGATTATCTGATTCCCTGAGATGTTTTGGCAAAACAAGTTAACCTACTGTATTTCTATCTGTTCTTTTGCTTATATGGGGAACCATTTGCGTGGTTATCCACTGAGTGGGTAGGGTAGGGATTGGTGGGTGAAACTATCAATGATTCCCAGGGTCCATGTTCTCATATGTTCACCATGAAGAACGATGGCTAATTGTACAAATGAGAGGAGACAAGGACCAACTTGGCAAGAGGTACAACTATAGATCCAGTCCTGTGTGGCCTTGCTTTTGGCTTTAGCATCGACCGAATGGGCCAAGTACATGCATTTTGGGGAAAGGAGATGTTCAAAAGTCCCACACCTAACCCTGTCTTCGGTCGAAACTCTTCACCAGCAGGTCACCAGCATCTACACTCCCTGGAATCATCATGGGCCAACGTGGACCTTTGGATGATCATTTTCCTCTACACTTCCATTATGATTCCAGAAAGTGCAAAAAAAAACACTTCAACTACTTGTGAAGCCGCGGTTGAACCCGGATGACCAAGCCACGGAAGAGGCCTCGCTGGCTGTTGGTGATGCCTTCCGGGTAGATCACCTTGGGCGAAGCGCTGAATCCACATCCGTGCGCACGGACGCGTCGGTCGTCGTTCTGCGTCGCTCCGGGCGAGTCACGAAGGCTCGACCACAGGGGTAGCGGCCCTTCTCGTCCGGCTCGTTGTGGACCTGGATAGACGGTGCGTGATCTTTTTTCAGAAATGAGTTGCACTGGGAACACATCACATGGAAGAGGAGTGAAGAACACCGCCGTAACTTGCTCTTCGGAACATGGTCCTCCGAAAGTCGGGGCCATGCCATCCACGTTGGCGCATGATTGTTTCAGCTCGAGTGTAGTATCCACAACTTGACGTGGGTCACCCGAACCCAGGGAATTGGAATATCAATCGCGTTGGGTGATAAGGGATCAAGAGATAGGATGAGAGAGGCATAGTCTCATGGATTGCCTACGTGTTTTGAGGAAACCCTTGGTTATCAAAAACAATTGACTTTGAGAATGGATGAGGAAGGACACATCTCTTGCTGGATGTTCTTGGATGGTTTTAATGTGTTTCGTTGATGGGGTGATTGAGGCATGTGCTTCGTTGGGTTGTCATCGTCAGTGACCAAATATAAGAATCTGCCACTTCAGGAAGCTGGCAAAGCATTCGGGTGAGGAGTAGTCTGTTAAAAGAAAGCTCAAGTCAAGTGTTCGAGATCAAGGACACATAGCAGTCTATAACATGAAAGTATACTATATGTATTGCTTTTGAATCCCAAATAATGAAATTATATGAAATGTGTGGTGGCCATCAACTTGAGAAAAAACACAAGGATGGCATCAACTGTCAACCCTACACATGGACACCCAGTCACACCCACTTGCCTCTTCAACACATCATCATCATCATCATCATCATCATAATCATCATCATCATCATAATCATCATCAAACAACCACTTCTCTACCAACCACACGATGAAAAATCCCCAAACCAACCATGGACACGTCATGGAAATGTCTTTTCCAAGCACAAGAAACCGAGCATCGGGGAGTCCTTGCATCAGCCATCATCCGACCATCACAGCTATCGCCAGGCGACGAACTTCAAGATGCCCTCGTTCACCTGTGACGTCGCTGACGTGTGGCCATGACCGCTAAAAGACCAATTGTGATGCAGGGTATCGAAAGGTTTGACACGGTGGAATTCACCAAACCTGACGCCGGAAAATCCGAAGATCAGGGGAAAATCAATGTGTTCTCCGAGCGAACTCCACCTGTTCTTGTTTGAACGTTTAGTGGGGTGCCCCCCAAGTCTCCCAGGTTTTGCAGGCGATCCACTTTTAATAGGAAAATGTAGGGAGCATGTTTGGAAAGTATCATCAGTCATCCCGTTGACTTAAGTCCCGCAACTCTGCATGCAAGCAAGTCCGTGATTCATGCACAACAAAGATTTCAGAAGTTGAAGAATCTGGGTACTCATCACCGCATGCATCATCACCACATATTCACTCACTCCACACAAATACAAAAGAACACCCCCCAAAAGAGAACATCTCTGAACCCACAAAAGCCCTCCCCCCTGCCACCTGTTTCGCGTCACATCGCGCCTTCTGTTTCACATCTTTGTCCTTGGTGTCCACAGCCACCTGAGCAAACGGCGGAGAAGTCGGCCCTCAGAAAGACCATCAAATGAGGAAGAAAAGGACATGTTCCCGTGAATGAGAACAGTCTCCTGCTGATTGTCCTAGGATGGATTGCTCTCATCAAGCCTATAATCAGTTGGACACACAAGATAAGAGCAATCCATCCTAGGACATGTTCCCGTGAACGGTGGCAGCCAACCTCGCCAGGTGCAAGGGAAACGTGGGTCACGCGATCTTGCACTTCTCCCATTCTCACCAACCCCCCCTGCTCTCTTCCAAAAAACTAAATTTCCACTGATCACCACCTGCTCCCGCCCGGCACGTGAACCTGCATGCCGCTTGGGCGCGGCGTTGCTGAATTGCGTGGCCGAGCGCACCCCGGGGATGGCAAACTGACCTCGGAGAGGCTGGTCCCAAAACACTCCATGTCTGCCATAGCCGATCACTTGACCCCCCTGGCACCATCCCAACTGATCGGAACAAAATGGGAGTCCCATCGGTCGTGTCTGGGGTCTAGGCCATCATCGAGGACATTCAGTACGTGGCCTCTTTGGAGTTCTTTGTTTGTGACCCTTTACGGGCTTAAGTGACCTCATCCTGGGATATCAAGGATGGTCACTTTGAAGGTCCTGGATACTGATGATCATAGAGTTCTCTTGACCCGCGCCACAGCAGTGCTGGGAATATGTATGGATTTCACACACTGACACGGTGGTGCAACATCTCCCACAGAAGAATTCTTTGGGGTCCATGCTCATGGTCTCATGGTGCTAATAATGATACAGTATAATGAATAACTATATGATGGTTTAGCAAAAGCTCGAATTTTGGCTTTTGTAAAGATAGGATGATTTCAAACATCTTTGAGCAACTGTTGCGATTAATAGCGCGACTTGTGGAAAAACAAGTTGCGACCGATAATGATGGCATATGACCTAAGCACTCCATGTATGGAAGAAATGTATACATTGACCCCCCCAAACACACCACCCCTGGCCGGTTCGGCTCGGCCCGTCCGGACTGGCAGTCCCGTCTACGGGTCGCGTCTGGGTGATACTATGTCAGTGGCATCCTCCCATGTCTCGAGTAGCGGGTGATTGCTGCATGCTACTCCAGTTGGTGCACTGATATGTATCAGACTGGATCAAAGGAGGAAACAAACCTGGAACTCAGTGTATACCTTCACAACCCCAGGTGTTTTTTGTTTTTTTGTTTTTTTTTAACGTTCACATGTTTCTCATTTGATGGAATTTGATGGAATTTGTTCACATGTTGAATCAATTCCGCAATATCTCGGTGTCTTTCTTTTGCTCAACCTCCGGTTCGACCGGGACGGTCCTCTTCTTCGACCTCACCGACCCAACGTGTGTCAATGCTGCGGAAGCGTCATCTCAACCGGCCAGTCCGGAGGTCCTTTTGGACCGTGGTTCAACATCACACCAAACATCTAGAACTTGCTTTGTTTCAGAACCACATCCAAGAAACACATTGACATGTTGTTCCATGATCTTCCATGAACGGAACTTGTTTCGGCTATGTGACCAGAGTGTCACAGGCTATCCGGGAATACCCCGGGGGAGAGATGGAACAGTTGGAACTTGTTTGTCATTGGTTGTCATTGGAAGAGTTCCACTGTGGTCGTCACTCCCGAACTCTCCCGACACTCACGGCGTACGCTTACGGCGCTCCGCGTACACGGGCTGGTCTTCGGATGTCACGGTCGTTCCGAGAGTCGGTGGACCGTGTCGGCCCATCCACTTGCACCATGGATCTATTTCCAGGGAGGTTGAAGTGTTTTGCATGTTTTGGCAAACTTTTGTCCCTGAAGAAGCTTGTTTGGGTCACCTTTATATGGCTGAAACCACCTCTATGCTTTAAACTTGGCCCCTTGGTTTGGCTGGCAGGTGGTTTTACCCAACATGCAACCCCGGAGGACGATGGCCATCTGGTAAACCGCAAAACCAAGCAGTTTGCCAGCTGTGTGATAGCATGTGAAGAACTGCCGTACATTCACAATCCAAAAGCAAGTCACCACTGGCACTGGCACTCTCCACCCCCCAAGCACCACACGGCCCTGGCATCCACCGCAGAGACATGCCGAGACACTCTTCGCTACACAGCCTGACATGCCCCAGGTGAGGTATTCCAAGTAGAAGGCCTTGCCGGACTCTGTTCGCCCCATATAGCGGCAGGACCTCGTTACCAGGACCATCTCGTCGGATGTCACTTGCATGGGACAAAGGGAGTCTGTGTGCGAAGCTCTATGAGTGGATGTAGATGCTTACTGGCATAGCGGTTTTTGGCATAGCGAGCCACATGTCCAGCTACCCAATTGTTCATGAACAATGTCAAAGCCACCTGGAAAAGGCGTCGCATTGATGCAATGAATCCTGCATTACCTTGACATATCTACAACTTCAACACATGGTAAACAAACAATCCCACCTGCAATCGGTCTCTCCAGCACCACCACACCTGCAAGTTCTTTTTTCCCACCTGCGATTTGTTGCCCCCACCACACCTCCAGCATGCTGATGTGGTTGGGCACCAGCACCGGGTGCTTTCCGGGTCGACCAATCCAGTCAAGGCGTTCCTTGTGGAAGACCTGCGGGTCCGCGCCTGCGGTGTCTGCGTGTCCTGGTGTCTGCGGTGTTGAAACATGGAGATCCCACCCATGCCATAGGATTCCCACCCATGTCCAGGTGTGAAGGATCGTTTGGACGTGAAACAATCGTGAACATGGTTGAACCGTCTTATACTCCCTGAAAGAATCATATGACATGGCGCCTGGGACACAACTACTCTGCTTTACCATGAGGGGGTGAACTCCACTTCCATTGTTAGTGAGCTTCTGTCTACCCTGTCACATGGACTTGGCGCACGCGGTCTTGTCAGTATGGTTGCAAGTTTCGCATATGCAGATCGCGAGGGTACATAGGATACACTTCAAGGTTCCACAAATGACCATCAGTGTCATTGCCTTCTGACAGGTTGCGTGGGATCATCTCCCATCAAAACCAAACATGCTCTTTTTGACCTCCAAAACCGACGACCTCGCTAGCTGCCTTGTTTCCGTTTGGGAGATCTTTCTAGAACACTATGACCTCGTCATTGTAGGGGAAAGGTAAGTCTGGAAGTTCCTCCACACGACTACTCAACTGAAAGAGGTTCCCCCACAGCGGCCTGAACTGTGTACACCGCCGAGAGATTGCACAATAGCCCTCAGAGTGCATCTGGTTTTCCTTTCTCCTGCGTTTTCACCGAATTTTGGCCACATTGGTGTTCCATCATTTGACGGAGCAAGTGATCTTCACTGGGAAGGGAGGGTTTCATCTTGAGTGTATTGAAACTGAAACACCATGTGGCTCATCTTGAGCTGTTTAGCACATGTTTTGTAGCAAAAGCAGAACACCAAGAGGAACATCCAGCCCCCCCCAAAAGCAAGCACGTGATGCAACACTGGATTCTATTTAAAGGTTCATGACTTAGTTCCGGAACATGACTCGTCTACATTCCAGTCTGAATGTTGTTGGCACCGGGTCAGCACCAGTCTTCAAGCACAAGGGAAGATCTGGAAACCCTGCAAAGATCTGGTCACCTCAAAGCAAATAGAGAGCCATGTTGACAAAGAGCCGCAAGTTCGCATGGAAAGCACCGATCACTCAACACACCAAGCTCGCACTGACCAACCAACCCCAAAGAGAGGATCGAATAGACAGCATGACTTCTCGTGCTTAAACGATCCTTGTTCACAAGTAATTCATCTTGATAACTTCGAACAAACTAGCAGGGATGGGTCACTTTGTTTCGGCACGGAGTTATTTTTCCCATACCCCGAAAAGATCTATATATAAAGACGAAGTCTACCAACTGGTGATGCCACACCAAGCCGTGATATTGAATCACCATCTCCACACCAAGCCGTGGTGCTTGACAGAAGTGCGAAGCCTGCATTGCAAATTCCTCGGTCGACAGGTCGAGCCTTTTGCGCTGGCAACGGTGAGGCAACGGTGATCAATCGAGGTGGGCAGCGGACGCGTTCACCAAGAAGCCGGGCGAAGCGAGCTTCCAAAAACCGGCGACCACGACCAGACACCAGGCGTTCGTTCTTGGATGATTACTTCGAAAACTTACCCAGTCCAAAAAGACATACTGGCACCACCGATTCCAAACACCTCCATCTATATCGAGGTTTAATTTCACCACGCTGACCTTCGACAACCACCCAAACTGAGGAAGATCCGGGTAGTTAGTATGAGACCTCATTTGGCTGTGGGTCAACACCCAAACCCTTCCTGCTAGCCTTTTCCCTCCCATAAAGGTCCTCTATTCTGTTCCTTTTTGCTTTGAAAACAACACGGTCACTTGGTCTCCAGGTGAACGTGTTGGGCGTCGATCGGGGAGACACTCCATCTGGAGTGTCCACGGTTCGGCTTCGGCCGTCGAAATCCGCGGGTTCTGGGCGATTCCCAAAACTTCACAAGATCTTCACAAGTCAGTCTGGTCCTTTTCTGACATCATCGGTCTGGTTCCGCATGAGAAGACCATTTGGGTGGACCAATCCGGTCCAGACCGGTCCCAGGTGGTGAACTCACTCCACTTATCCATGATGGGTTTGGGTTGGCCGTGAAAAAAACCGCGGTTCGTATGCGAGGGTTGGTCTGCCATTTGGAACCGTTCTTCTTGGGTGTCCTGCCTGGTCCTTTGGCCGATGGGTGAAAAGCTTGATTCGAGGTGTAGTAATAAACCTTGGCTAAACCAAAGGGACTAAGGGTGTGAACGGTCTGGTTGAATCAAAATATCCACCCAATAGATCGGGTTAGACCAGGTTTAACATATTTTATACAGACAGGAAGTCAAGAAAACAACGCTGAATTAACATACTACTATACACACCCAATGGATCAGGCTAGGCCAGTTGAAACTAATAGACGAAAAACACTAACTGTTGAAACTTGTCAAAAACCCGATCCATTGGGCACTGAGCTGGTGGAGGTCCATGAGTCAAGAAACCCCAGTCCTTCACACATGCCGAACGAACTCATAATGTGACTCCTGTTTTGATAGGAAACATGCATATTATCAGTGGGAACTATTCAGGTTCTAGGTGATCATGCTCAGGTATCAACAACTTCGCTGATATTTGGTGTCATGGTGTCCCTGTAGTTGCGAAAGGGGACTCCACTAGGGGACAAAAAAAACCTGTTACCTCTCACGAATCCCAGGTTCCTGTTGTTCTTCAATATGAAAAACCCCTGAAAAACCCTTAAACTCAACATGTTCACGCAATTAGTGAAACAATCCTAGGATTTCAATAATGTCATCCATGAGCACCCCAAGCCAATCAGAATCCACGTGACAAGACCTGACTTGGAACCAATGGAAGGCAATTGAACCACTGGACTTCTAGTATACTGTGTTTATATTTTTGTGAAATATATTTGTATATTGTTTTAAACTAGAACTATATATATATAGATTTATGCCTGTTCGCCTGCCTGAACCTAGCCGTTTCTCAGTCGTACTCAACAATGTGCGGAACCCCTATACCAGGACCATCCTTAAAATTGGACTGGATTTCATGTAATTCAACTACATGAACATGTGTCTTTTTGAATGGTCTTTATTAGTCAAGCCGACCCACACGTGGCATCTTCGTTGAAATCCGACCCACAGATCCGACATCGCTGACCGGGCTTCGGTGCGGACAGCTGAAGGGCTTACAGTAGCAGCCGCTCCAAACGGTGAGGATGGTCAGGCAAAAGACCAAGACCTGGAATTCGTTCCGGTTTCCGAAGTGCGCGGAAGTCTGGTGGAAATTGAGATGGTCAATTCATTCACACCAAGGGTCTTGCAGAACTCGGCTCAGCCCAGAGTGGCAAATGCATCTAGACCCCCCCACAATCCATCGACCCGATCTAGGCCGATGAGCGTGAGTGAAGCGGGGCCGGCGTGTTCTTGTTGAGGGACTCCGGTGTAGCGGTGGGCGATGTCGGTCAGCCGTCACTTTCGCGAACCTCGGCCGTTTCGTTGACATGTGTTCATTTTTTCTTGTATACTGGGGACCGTCAGGATTCTTTTTTGAACATTTGTGTCGAAGCTCTGCGTAGCATGGTCACAAAGGATGCAAGCGGCATCTTTCAAGGACAACCCCAGCTTGCGCCTCCTCGCACGCAGTTCCTGCCCTAGAAACTCGAGGTAGTCTAGAAACGTCTCGCTGGACCAAATATGTGTCCTTGAATGAAGTGGTCCCACGTGCAGCCATTGAGAAAGCTCCTTCACACAATCTGATCAGTATGTATATATATATATATATGTGTCATATCTTTATATATATACATATATATATATACACATTGTGTACGCATTGTGGCAAAGAGCATTCTATCTGCACAACTCTGCACAGCTGACATGTATATATATATATATTGTTATATATGTCTATATTAAATATATACACAGGAAAAATCACGACGCTGCCAGTTATATATATATATACGATGGTGCCTTCTGCATAATATATACATATACATGCAGCATGCAGCATACATGCCGAGTCAGCGACCTTGTAGCCAATAAACTCTTCATCATCGCCTGCAGGTTGATTCAATCATATTCAGTCACATGAACTCACCCTTGCAAACTATTTAGACTAATTCTTCAGTTGCATCTTCCGCTCCATCTTTTGTAAAGTCCTTTTGGCAGGAGTGAAGCAAAGGCTCCAGACTTGGTCGAAGTTGCACACCAGGCGGCCATTGAACCACTTGCATTAGAAGCCACTCCCGGACTCGACAAAGCTGTCGGTGTTCCGGCGGAAGGTGTTTGCCGGGTTTGTTGTTCAGCTTTGGAGCGATTCCAGCCCGGAGCCGCGCATCCCGCACCCAGTCTGATGAGGGGCATCAAAAGGCGGATAGAAAGCATCAAACATTTTCCCTTGATGCAGGGTACCGCGCGCTCGCCGGCCACTAGGGGAGAGCGTCCAGAGGGGCATTGCCACGATATGGGTTTGGATGGGTCAACATAAAAACGGGTGGGCACTGTCATGGCATCAACGGAGCCTTTTGCAAGGGCCAGTGGTGCGAGATATGCTGCCCGAGTGGCGTTGCATTATCTGCATTTTGTGTTCTTGGTTGCCCACCAAAACAACAACAACGACAACCACAACCACAACAACAACAACCGCCACCACCATCACCACAACCGCAACCGCAACCGCAACCACAACCGCCGCCACCAACAACAACCCCACCACCACAACAGCAACAAAAACCAAAACAACTACGACAGCAACTACTGCTACAACCTACCACTACTACTACCACGACTACGACTACGACGACTACTACTACATCTCCTGCTGCTGCTGCTGCTGCTCCTGCTGGTGCTGGTGCTGCTCCTGCTCCTGCTGCTGCTGCCACCGTGCCAACACCCATACCGACCGCATTCCAAAGCCATCCTTGAATATCCTTTGCTCCTACGGGCCTGCTGGCCCGCTGGTGGGCGTCAGACCCTTAAATCCGGCGATGCCGTCCAGATCAAGCCTAGCTTGCTATACGGAGACGCGCTCCATGGAGCCGACCCGTATTTCTAGCATCACCAGGGCTCATGTGGCTTCGTCAAAAAAACATCAAAAATAGATGAAAAATTATCAATAATGGCCACTGTAAAGCTTCAAAGCCTCTGCAAAATAAAGAGTTGAAAATGGATACAAATTGTGAGAACAAATTTTGGTCCAGCATCGTTAGCATCAGCAGAGTCTCAGCAGGAAAGATGCAAATCCTTTGGTGCAGGACTAGGCGCAAAGCACTGTAAATCACAGTGTTTGTGCGTAGTTTATGAACAATGCTGCTCGTACTCTGGTGATGCCAAGGGTGCTCGACACAAATGCTACCTCAAAACTGTTGCTCCCCTTTGCGTACTTTCTTCTCTAGAGATAAAGCTTTACAATAGCTAGTTTTGATAATTTTCCCTCTGCTTTTGCCGTTTTTCAATTATAGTTCAAAAAAATCAGGTCTTCGCTGAAAAGAAAAGTTTTTAAGAAAATTGTTCTAGCCTAAAGCTATCTGAGCTTACAGGTTCGCGGACGCAAAGGTTGCTTACTTCACGCTGTACGTGGCTTCATTTCCACCCTCTGCACCCCGACAAGGTGGAATAGGAAACCCTATGAATGATTAATCCATCATGCAGAGTTCGTCACCACTCGCCAGAATCCATCGTGCACAGCACGAAAAACAAAGCAGGAAGCCCCCTGCAGGGCAGGAAAGAAACCCCGACAGGGCAGAAACGAAACCTCCGCAAGGTGTAAAGGAAACCACTGCACAGCAGGAAAAAACAACACCTGCAGGGCAGGAAAGAAACCCCTGCAGGGCAGAAAAGAAACCACGCAGTTTGGGACAATAAACATCACGCAATGTGCAACAAAAACGACCATGAAACCCTCAGCCGTGGAGGTGACCGGAAGTCCTACGTTTGCTGTATCAACTCACCAGAAATCCCATGGAGTCTGACACAAATCTGTGGTTGTCATCTACCTTCAACATCCTTCAACTACACTTCTTTGTTGAGCAATGCCAGTTTTGGTGGATTGTTGGATTGTTGGAAGGCCCCATATGTAAAACACACACATTGGTTAAATTGGATTCAATCAGGTTTGCTTAGAGATGCTTAGAGTGCATGTCCTGCACTGACAACCCATCCATCGCGAATAACCAAAAAGGGATGAGTTCTAGCATCGTTTGTGCGTCGTTCCAATCGACGCTTCAACAGAGGTTTCTGTGGGCGTGTAGGGTCCCAGGGTCCCAGGGTCGCTGTTCATGGACCCGTGATGTGTTGCGTTCGCCGAAAAGTACTGGACCCTCCTGGCGCCACCACCGTGCCGCCCCACAATCTGAAGGACTGGCCTTCAGCCTTCCCGAACCGAGTGGCAAAGCTGATCAAGCGAAAGGGGAGAAGACCTGCGTGGGTCGGCGGACCGGCGTGGGGCAATGGGGCAATCAGCCGGTCATGTGGTGCTGTCTACCAGGCGTCAGCCACAAATCAAGTGAACGTGTCTTTAAAAGCGAGTCGTTGAAGCTTGAGGGTTGCCTAGCTTGGTGTGTATCAAAATAGGGAGAGTTCCCAGTTCGAACCCAACCCATTGGTTGGGGGCCTCCCTATGAACATACACACCCATACATCAATCTGCAGTCATTCCAACGCGATGGAATACTGTCGGAATAGTTGTTTGCTGTAGCTGCCGAAGCTTTTTGCTGCGCTTTACTGTGGTCTTGGTGTGGGCACATGTGTAGCATCCAAGGCTCCAAGGGATTCTACACATCATTCTAAATCACTGGCTGACTCCCTCAGTTTGCGTGGAAAAGAACGCTTACAGCATCTTACAGCTTCATCTTTTCCCACCTGTTCCATCTGTAGTGGGGTGCAACCCCCAATCCCCGTCAGGTGATCATCAGGTTATCTGCTGAACTCCTGAGGAGCGGCGTTTTTTTTTGTCATGTCCTACACACCTACGGTCACCTACCCAACGATCTGAGTGTGGGGAGCGGCTGGGTGTTGTGTTAAGTTGCCCTTACTGGGTCTTCGGACCTGTTGGGTTGTCTTTTGGTATGCTGAACCAGGGAGCTGTCTCGAAGCCAGCCTAGTCTTGGAACCACCCACAACAGGGTCCTAGGGGCACTGTATACAGTGTAGGGGCCCGTCTTTTGGAATGTCCCTTCTGGCAGTCAGGGTGCAGCGGCAAACGCCCCCTCCGGCCTGTGCAGATTGCAAAGACCTCAGTGCAGTCCGCCGTGCCGTGGCTCCGGCTTCGAAAGTGGCAGTGGCAATGGCTGTGCACGTCCTTCCGATACAAATGAAGTCCTCTGCTTAAGTTATGATATGTTTGTCACACTCTCAAAGCTACACACGTCCACAAGGTTCCTTGACATTCCAGGAGATTCCGGTCCGAACATCCAATGGAGGGCTAGCGGCTAGGAGGGCCACGGTGGTTCCACTGGCCGAACCTCCTCGAACCCTCGAGACAACCAGTTCAGTTGGATGCTTGAAGGTCGAAAAACGCAAAGAGAGCGAGCTGTGGGGTGACTGCAACTGCAACTGATGGGCTAGGCTAGGGCTATCAAGACTGATGGGCTTCAGTCTTCCTGTTTACTGAAGAAGAACTGAAGAGGCTGTTCATCAGGTGCGTCTTGGAACACACGCTCAGCACGCTCAGCAGCTGCTCGCTCCTGGCCTTTATTGGCCATCGTCCACATGTGAACGACTTCTGCTCCCTTGAAGCTCAAGGTCTCTTGGCAGGGCTAGGCAGTACCACTAGACCCAGGATCGCTTGCAGGCAGGCATGACTCAAAAAGTGCAAAAAGCTCACCAGGCAACATACGGTGCACAAATCAGTAAGCAAAGAGACATGTTCAATGGTGTAGTGGTCAAACTTCCACAAATTCGAGCTCCAGCAATGTGTTGTTTGATTTTGCCTTTTTCCTCAGAGTGTGCAACGTCACTTTCCAAAAAACACAGGTTGCGTTTCCAAGACAGTTCTAGCCACACCCACTTCTTCTGCAACCCCGGTCTTCTCAGACACTACTGCACAAATCGCGCATGGCCTACATCCTGCAACATGGGCCTACATCGGCCTACATCATGATTGTTGTTCAACACAAACTTGTTTTATGTTGTTTTATCATGAGGTTGATCGTCTTTTTGGGGAAGGTCTTCCTCTCCTGCGTCCCCCAAAGACAGCTATAAAGGCTATAATCGCATATTAGGCTAGTACGTTCCCGTAGCTCCCTTTCAACATATATATATATATACCAGATGAAGTTTTCTATATATCCCTAGGGCTCCAACCACCTCGGGGGTCTAACCACCTTCTGAGGATATGGTTGGAGCCCTAGGGTATTGTCAATCCCTGGGGATCCACATACCTTCTCGTGATCATAGAAGAGTCAGTCTCCAATCACCTTCTCACAGGGTGCGTGTATCCATAAAGAATCGGCCTTTTCATGACATTTATTACTTCTCTACGGAACCAGGACTTCAACGCAAAGATGTATAGTGGGACACCAGTGACCATTGAACAGTTCACGGTGGCCTATACTCTGTATACTGTGGAACAATGCAAAACACACCTATTGGCCGATGGTAGATTGACATCTCGAGTAGGTTGTTTTAGATCTGCCTATTTTCAAGGGTCAGCCAACATCTCTTCTTTTGACCAATACAGTAGCAATCTATTTATATCCTTTCAAACACATCTGCACATCTGCGAAAAATGCCCTTAGAACATTTGGTTTCCTTCCGAACGCACGTCCGACCCTCCAAAAAAATTATACAAGCATAAACAGCAAACAGCTTCAAAACGGTTCGTTTAGACCAATTTTTGGTCAAAATTTGATTTTTTGCTACGCCCTACCTTCACCCCAAGAGCAAACTGCTTCATCAATGAATTTTTGTCGGCATTGACATCGCTATTTGTTCGGCCACACTCCTCCCCAGTAAGCCAGGCCACAGAGACCAGCACAGAGTTCAGGTGCGCGGCCAAGACAAGGACAAGAGGAGGACAAGAAGGCCCAGCCACAGAGCCCAGCCACAGAGGACAAGAGGAGGACAAGGCCTGGACACAGAGCACAGCCACAGAGTTCAGGGCGCGGCCAAGAGGAGGACAAGGCCTGGACACACAGCAGCCACAGAGGACAAGAGGAGGACAAGGCCTGGACACAGAGCCCAGCCACAGAGTTCAGGGGCGCGGCCAGTGAGTGTGGCCAGCTCCTTTTTTTTCTAAGATAGAACCCCAACAGTGAACTGTTTGGGGAAGAATAGAAGGGATCACCTCGCAATCCCAGCATAGTTGCAGCTGCTCACCCTGGAAGAACCCCCCCAAACTTCTCAGGCCAGGCGCCACTTTGAAGAGCGCGTAGGGCGGCCATCCCGGGGTGTCGTACTCATAGCACTCGTGGCCGGCACCGACTATGGCCTGGTTGCACCAAACGGACCACAGATGAAAAAGCCGTAGACAGGTTCACCGAAGGAACTCGCACCTGTTTTTGTGTCGTGGGGGGCGTCACTGATCCCGCAAAAGTTTCTTTCTTGGCAATCTACTGACTGAGTGTAACTTTGCGAAAGAAGACCTCCAAACCACAAACCCAGAAGCTTGTAGTTTAGGTGATTTCCCTCGATGAATCCACAAGTCTGTCCAAGTCAAGTGGACAGGGAACCAGCTTCATGAACATCTCTTTAAAAAGCCCGGCAAAAATAGGTCTAGGACGTCGGACGTCAGCAGTCACAGCCCATCCAGGAAAGGTGGGGTTTGATGTGGGAAATGTTTTTTTGTGACCGTGGTTTCTCTGTAGTCCCTCCAGTGAAGTGGAAAACTGACTGTTTTATCGCATGCATTCCATGTAGATTATTTCAAGGCATGTAATAGCTAGGCCGGGCCTGTGCGCAAAAAAATACTGACCAACTGGACCAAGGCATACATTGCTGCTCCAGAAACCCAGGTCGTGTCTGCTGCTTCACAAGTTTTGAAAAGCAACTATACAAAAAACAAACAGGACCATAGACAGCAAAACAGTCAGACGCGAAACAATACGCCACAAGAAGGCAAGAAACAGGAAAGTAAAGAAAACACAGGGAAAAACTGTGAAGAACAAAACATAGCAACACAAGCGCAACAGAAGCAAGAAAGCAAGAAAAGCAGGATCAACCACAGAGAAGCACTGAGAAGCAAAACAAGTACAAAAACAAGGAAAACAGGAGAAATCATAGGGAAACAAAGCAAAAACACATCCACCAGAAAACATACCTAAACCCTAAACGCATTTGTTCATTTCATGTCCGTCTGTAAGCTCTGTGGTTTGTGGAGTCAAGCGGTCTTCGACCAAAAGCTGAAAAGCTGAATTTGTCTCTGGACCATTGCTCACAGTTCGAGCCTAGGCGGTTCAAAGCCACATCGGCCACAGAGTACCAAAAGCCGCAGTTTGGCTTCAGGCTTGGGGCACCGCAGTAAGGAGCGGGAGGAACCACACGATCATGGTCAGCCCAATATTGGAAGCCATCATCAACTTGAAGAACACCGTGTTGGTTCCTTGGTCTTGGTCACCTCTCCGGGGACCAATGGCAATTGTCAAGGTTCTAGCTACCAGTTGACCGGTCCTTCGGGTCACGCAAATACACAGGTTAACTAGTCTGCGTCAAGCACACCAGCGCCATCGCAGCGTAACGCGTGAAGTATTGGCCGATCATGGCAACGATGTGTGGACGGCAACATTTCTCCAAATGTCAAAATCAACATCCAGTACGACATTAAAAGGTTTTTGGTCGGAGCAGACCAATCGCCTGTAATCTAAGTCTATAGGGTGTACCCAAACAGCGGAAGCGAAACCGTCCACGCCAATGGTGCGCATCTCTTTTCCCATATGGCGATGCAACCATGCGCAGCAATAACCCCCATCTCGAAAGGATGGGACCTCTGCGAGAATGTCTCCAAGATCTCCACCCAGCCATAACGATCAGCTGAATTGGATTAATTGTTTGCAAGGTGGATGAAATTGAGCCAGCTCACCCGAGAGCAACGGTCACGACTGTTCTCGCAGTGCCCTGGCTGACTCTTGCGTTCACAAGACTCCTCCTTACAAGTTTCCCTGTAGCACATTTCAATCCATAGCCACGACCAGAATGAGAAAGACAATGAAGCAAGAGCGCAAGTACTGAGGCACCGAGCTGTGACTTAAAGCAAATCCATCGCACGTGGACGGACAGCTCTTGCTTCCGGCTGCGTTGAAGGTGCGCAAGCCAGCTGAGGCTTGAACGATGATGCGCTCCTTTTAAGTGAATAGCGCAGCCTCATATGGTTTCACCGGTTTCAACCTGCTCCAAAGCGGGCTAAACTGGTTCCCCGATGTCAGCAACCACACTGGGACTGGCAACCATTTTCCATTCTCGGTCTTCAAGGTGCGGACTCGCGTTCCGACCCCCAACTTGGCCAAGGCTACCTCCCTGCGTTGCTGGACCTGAGCTGCATCTCGCTCAAAGAAACCGATCAGGAGACAATTGAATCCTCGAGCAACGTATCAACCCAGTATGGTTGCAAAGCACAGTCCCCAGGACGCAATCCTCTTGCTGGGATGGATGGAGTGAGTGAGCGCACGGCAATCACGCACTTGATGACACAAAGGTAAAGAGGCGATGCGCACGTGGTCTGCAAGCTTCAAAACCTTCAGTCATTGCAAGTCCTTTGTTCCTGCTCGTTTGCCCAAAGATGCATCACTCTGGCATGGAAATCCGGCCATGTAGAGCCCGTTCTCCAAGGAAATTGGCTGCTCCACATTCTCAGAAATATCCTCGTAGAAATACTCCGGATGGCCTTGCCCAGAAGGCCCAACATCAAGAATTCCATACGTACAATCACAAGCCCAATGCTCATCTCCTCTATACGAAAGTCAACAAATATGTCAGTCAATACTATACTCTCTAGCTATATGCTCATGGATCTCATGGCACCCTCATGGCTCACACGGAAGCCCATCAGCCATCATCCATCATCAGGTCCAGGTCATCACCTCAACATTCATCATCAAGTCATCATCCTTATTATGGGATGTCGTCCCCCAATACCTTCAATCTCAAACCTCGTTTACCTTCAAGGCGGGGAGAGGGGTTGATTGATCCTATGTTGGCATTATTGCATTTCTTGAGGGGTGACCTGAAAACTTGGCCTCAAGGTCGCAACCGGTGGTTTCAGGCCACCCTTTACTTGCCCACAAAGTGCTGCGCCTACCACGAAATCTGCACTGCAAGGTCCACAAAGCGCCCCGCCTGCCACGAAATCGGCACTTCAAGGTCCACAAAGTACTGCACCTGCCACGATTTCTGAAAACGAAGCACATGCACAAAAGTCACGATTCACTGCACCTGTCACGAAATTAGAGCGCGTCCAAGATCACCACCATATCCAAAAGCGCCAGCATTTCGAAAAAAGATCGCTCCGACCCCTTGCACCTGTCACGAAAAGTCGACTTTGGACCACCAAAAAACTAGGCTTCCCTTGTGCCTGCGTTCAAAAGTGACCACCATGTCCGACAATGCGCATGGCACCACAACGAGAGCGCAGTCGCGACACGCACTCTCCGTGCCCCACCAGATTCTGTGAGCCCACGCAGTCGAAATGCACTTCGAGGATTTCGAGAGGCATGAATGTAACTACATGTAAATAGCAACGAACTAGCCGGACCCAATCGCGCGACACCTCGATTGGACACCGGCCCTGAACCCTTACCGTAAGAACCTCTAGTGTGACCACAGTCCCATCATCCAGAAATGCCTGCTCTCCTCCCTCCGACTTCCGCTTGTTCTGCACCCTCAGCCGAGGAAACGCCGCCGGTCAAGTGGACGCGTGAAAAGGGGGTCGGTCATGGTCCGTTCGTTTTCAGCACGGGTCACACAGGTCTCACACTGGCGTTCTTTGTTTGAAAACATGGTTCTCTTTTAGGTTGAGACATGAAATCCTCCAATCAGGGGGTAGACTCATCTTTACAGAACAACCAAATGTTACTGATTCTGTGATATGATCGATATGATATTGCCCTTGCTGTCAAATCATAGTTGTTTAGCCATTCAGTTGCAGCTCCTACTGTTTGGTTTTGCTTGTGTTACACTGTCACTCCTGAACAAAAATCATAGAAAACAGGTGCAATGGAAGATTGTCTTCCAACAAACCTGTCCATCCACTTCCATGATTTTTATAATTTACAGGATAATATGTTTTGGTTTTTATTGGAACTTTTATGGTGGGCACCCATTTTCGAGGCTGGGAACAACCAAGTTGGATCGTGTACCGAAGTGGTGTGTGTATCACCATCCAACTAAATGGACCCCCAACACCACCGGTACGCAAACTGTTCTATTTGGGTGTGTGCATTGAGATAGGGAGACGAGAGACCTCCCCCCAACCCGGCATCCATCTTCCATGGAGTCGTCTGGAGGTCTGCCTCTTTAAATGCATCAATTTGTCAAAGCCGTCGTGTCAAAAAGCTCTCAGCACTCGCCATGAAGGGTTCTTAAAAAGCGACCATCTGATTCCCTAGTCAAGTCTAAAGACAAGATTCTTGCCAGCGAATTAAAGCCCTACGATCGTCCAGTCTGACCCAGGTCCAAACCTCCTGGTCCTTGACCTCCTCTTTCGTTTTTGGAGTTAGAGTTTTGCATGACCTACTCCTGGATCTCATTTCGGTCACTTGACTGACCTGGGAAGAACATGCCCGACTCATCAAGCTCCCTCCTGGGAAGAACAAGTCCTCTAAGTCCGGTCCCTGGGTTCCTGGACGCGACGTCCGGCCAACGTCTTGGACAACAAAGAGATTGAAGCCAAGCGCAAAGCCTGCGAAGAAGCTGGACCAACAACGTTGACCAAAAACAAGAACACATGGGGGAGTTGGTTGGTGTGTTTTTGGGCGGTGTTTGTGGGTTTGATTGTTGTTATATGTGTTCTTTTCTGATGGTTGGCAGCTGATGAAAACAACGCGACGGGGCGAAAAAGAACCTGCTGGTCGTGGTAACATTTGGGTCGTGAAGACAGTCGGACTTCAGCGTAAGCGAACCTCATGCCCCTGATGTGGCAGCAAAGATCGGAATGCGCTTTGGTTGGACTTGGACCACATGCATTTTTCTTTACATGTACCTCCAATGCATGGCATAGCATGGCTTCTGTCTGCCTGGAAAAGCTCGGATCGTCCGATTCTCTCATCATTTTGAGATTGCTTCGAGCATGATGGAGCCGGATGAAGCTGAACATTTATATGTACAGTGGTTTCAGAATAGATTGCACGAACCTAAAGATGTCTTTTATATAGGGGTCATAGGGGTCCATCAAAATCACCTTCACTTGGGAACCCTTGTGCCATCGAACTCACCTCTGATGGCCCACTGCTGAAGAGCAGAAATGGTCGATCGAAACGAAAAAAAAGTGGGAGCCGGCGATTGGAGTCGGCTCCCACGGAACTTGACCACTCCAAAGAGGGGTTCACTCTTCAGCCTCCAAAAGACCATTGGAAGTGGTCTTCGTTCGGCTGTGATTCGGCAGAGGATGGTCTCTTCTACTGAGGATGGTCACTTACAATCCAACAAGATCTCATGGAACGGCGAACACCGGCGCTCACCAGTGGAACATGGAACGTTTCAGGCTTTCATCGGTAGACAGCCGTTCGGTGCACTCAGTACACTAAACCGCCCAAAGCGTAACCCCACGTAGACCTATCCTTCACATCAGGATGTTGCCCACAGCCCACCACTGGGCATTGACGACATAGACACCCAGGAATTTGTGTTTTACCTATACATTGGGGCGTCTTAAGATGCTTTAAGGGTCAAGGTAAATATTCTACTCCCATGGGTTGTTGGGGATTGTGTCTGTCGCAGAAAAAGTCTGTAAACCACCAAATTTGGACATCGAGGCACCAAAGCAGCAAATGGAGTAGAAAGCCGCATCCAAAGTATCCAGCGATGATCCATCCAACGACCATGGTGATGTACTGACTGTTTGTTGCTTTGCGGTCTCTGTCTGTTTGGACACGCGCTTCCTTCGTCTATGTTGAACAAAGGTTGAACAAAGTGCCTCTCTTGACTTGTAAGGACTTTCACGGAACACGCAGTCACACAATCACTAATTTTCCACGATCTCTTTTCGCTTTGCCTTCGACCGGTGGGGTTGATTCCTAGACTCCTGTTCCGCTGCAAAAGATCCAACCTCTACTGCACATCCAAGGCTAAGGCTCTTGTATTTTCTTGGCCTTTGAAGCCGCCAGGTCAACAACTCAATCGTTTTGCATCTTTTTGCATCTAAGGCCAGCTTGAACTGGGTGATACTCCTAAAGCCACCGAAGTTCAGCACGAACGACTTCCTTCGGAGCACCGGAGTACGTCTTCCCAAACGTTTTCCGACGTGACCCGACTCCCAACGGCCCGCAACATGCGAAGATAACACAACATGAGGAACAGACCAATCCTTCTACTCAGGGTGATTGGATTGATGAAACATGTGATAACCTCAGTGAAACGATATGATAACCTCACTGAAAGACATGCGCAAATCGCATGGCCATGCGCAAATCGGCATGCGGAACAGGGCCAAAACGAACCTCCAAGTTACGAACATCACACCTGCTTGATGCTTCTGGTCCTAGTGGGTTCCGTCACTAAATGGATGGTTGCAACCCTGTTCCTTTCGCACATACTGCATCAGTCAATCCAATCCTTGGAGATCTTCCGAGACATGCAGGTGATCAAACCCCCACATGCTGATGAAGTGGATGAAGGTTTCATGAACTAGGGGCCATGTGAGACGGAGCTTTCTCCAGACTTGAGTTCTTCCTTCTCGACCGGAGAGACCGTGTTCTACGAAACGAGGCAGGTGAGACCTGTCGACAGACTCGATGACTCGACCGAGGTGGGGCGGCGGGTCGTGGGTCGTTGACCTCGGAACACTGGCGATGCTTCTTGCCACTGTGTTTTGCGGCCATGCGATGTTCATGTAATGTAAGAACACTGAACACATCTCTATCGGACGTTGTTATATATTTTTCCTGGTTTTTGGTTGCACATGTTATACATGAAATGACTGGCAATGTTTGGTTTGAAACTTGATATGTTTATTAAACATCTATAGTAATTACACTTATAAAATGAATCAACGTTTGCTCACGACTGTTCATGTTTGTGATGGGGAGGGGGGCGTTTCTCCAAAACAGGGGCTGCTCAGCTGCTCTCTTTTCGTCGAGGGCGCGCTCCATGATCCGCGCTCCTGGCGATTGGGGGCGCCACTCTGCAAAACATAACTCTGCGTCATCTGCGAATCAGGACATGATGCGAGCATCCAAGAACCATGAGAACCACATGAACCTATACAAGTAGGGGCAAACAAAACACATTTTCAGGCCGATCACATTTCAAGACTCCAAGACAAAAACAGGTGTTGCCCAACCAAGAGATGCAACCATTTCAGAAATCACATCATAAAACAAATATAGGGCGTCATAGAGGCTCGTAATTAGGGAGATCCTCTCATTTTTCTTGTTCCCCCAGCACACGCTCCCTCCAGTTTCTCCTCTCCCTCCTTTGCCTCGTCGGGTGATGACACTCACCGAAGCGCGGAACTCACGTAGACCCAGGTCATGCTCCGCGGAGACCGCGTGGACGTACCTGTGCGACCGTGACGCGAGGTGACCTCCGCTAGGTGGATACCAGAAGTTCGGTGTAAACGGGTGGGTGCAGGGGGAGTCGGGGGTGCATGGGAGACAGGTCGGTCTGATCCTTTTTTCTCCAGACACTGTGGACACACTAGGGGTTCTTACAGTATTCTCCCGGCAAGAGACCCCAAACAGTGTGTGTGAGGTCTATAAGCAGAAAGTCCAGAGATCTAGACGCATTGGGGTCCAGAGAGGTGATGGTGGTGATCAAGTTGGGGATCGTGGTGACGGTGGTGGTGGTAAGTGAGTGAGTGTGAGAGAGTGAGTGAGTGAGTGAGTGAGTGAGTGAGTGAG